GGGTTGAATCATCGGACCTAAGCTGAGTGTACAGTACAAGGTATCATTTTTGCCTTTGTACACACATTTTTAATTAATGCAAAGACACTGATATCCATTGCAAATAGATCTTAACACAATATTAAGTATGTTAATTTCTTATCAAGCTATGATTGCCAACAATATGGACCCTTCTTCTTCTTGAACTTCAACTTGAAGCAATCAGTCTTGGTAGGATGATTAAGGTGTGGTTGGGTGAACTGAACTAAAACGTAACATGATAACAAAAAAAAACATACAACTGAAGGAAATCATACACAATAATTTGCATCAATCAGATATTCTTCGTTATGCTAATTTTAGCTTCTGGATAAGAAGCTGGTAATAATACAAAGTCATTACAAAATAACATGTCATACTCAAAGGAACTGAGTAAAAAGGAACTGAGTAAAAAGCAAATGGTGTTGATGGGCACAGAGGTTGACCAAAGGTCTGAGGAACAGTATCAAGGTTGGTAAAGTGCTATAATCACTTTATGGCACCCAGAGCCATATTCAACCATTCCTTTCTAAGATCTCCACCTGTGGTTAATAATGAGATGATCTGGTATCAAAGGTACAGTGTATTCAGCGTGACACAAACAGGGAGGCTGGAACAGGCTCTTGAACCCAGCTCAGGCCTTTTATGGTCCACCCACCATTTCAGTTCGATGCTTCCTCACAGAGGTGTCTACCCATGACCGGGATCACTTTCTCTTACCTCAGCTGAACCATGGGGGGGTAAAGATAAATCGGTCCCAGTATCAGTGGCAAAAGAAGCGATGATCTATGTAGCTCGTCACACATATTGTTTCTTCTGGGCGTGTGAGGCAAGGTCTTTGGCTTTCTCTTTAGCTGCCAGTGCCGTCTCTCTTGCTCGCTCTGTAGCAGTTTCTGCTAAGGTTCTAGACGGAGTTTCACCTACAAAACAAATCACAAAACATATTGGTTAGAATATTGGATGCAAGTTTCAAATAGTGAAATGAAAAAGAAGATTACTTTATAGACTGATTTACTTTTCACATATCCCTCCTAGTTACACAACTTGCTATGCTACCCCTTTATAGTTCTAAATTGTGTAATAAATAACAGACACAGCATTGCCTTACAGCCAAACTACATATCTTAACAAACAAAAGGTTGTATGATTTGGAATTGTTTGTACCTTTAAAGTAGTAGTAGCCAACCTTTTTCTGACATATCCCACTTTGAAAGCTGTTAAGTTAACCTTTACACGCAAGAGACAAGAGGCTCTCCTGCGTTATTGACTGATACATTACTGATGTTTTTGCTTAATTAACATAACCCAGTTTCCACCTTTATTCAATTATGTCAAACATTTGTCCATCTTGTACTGAACATCTGCTACCCAGAATCTAAATAGCCCAGCTAGCATCAGAGCTTCTTTCACAGCAGATATTTAGACTTGAACAGGAAAAAGCACAGCTGATTAAGGATGCTTTTCATTGCAGCAATTAATGCAAAACAATGCATTCATAATTGAACAATTTACCCTGCATTTTGGCCAGCACATATTCAAATCCTTTCATGGTCTTTGTAACACTGGTCTTGAACCTTGCGAGACCAAATTCCTAGAAAGAGTAGACACAAAGTCAACAAAGAAAGATAACAAAACACCTAGAGAACATTGAGTCAACAACCTGTTGGGCACATATCACATATTTAGTAACGTGTGTTTTTCAGAGCTTGACAACAATAAAAGGCCACTCAGATTCTGTCATAAATCATTCGGCAACGTAAGTCTTGGCGGACAGCTTCAACTGCTCAGCTGTTGCATCTTTACACTCTGGATTATGTTACCAATTACAGAATGACAGATAGGAGTTGAGTCTCCCTTTTAGATGCCACACACCGCTTTCCCTGGAATTACTGTAGCACTCCACTTTACTCTACTAACCTGAATAGCTCGAGTAAGCCCGTAGACAGTGGAAGATATCCAAGCTTCTCTTTTTATCTCTGTCCAGCTGCCATTCTCAGGGTTTATTCGGTACTCGCACCTCTCTTCCACGGACTGGGACAAAAAAAACAAAACAAGCGAAAGCATCATGAGGCAGTGTTATTACTCTGTGCGATGCTGGGTGTCTATGAAAGCAAACGCTGCGGTACCATGAGGCGAGTGTGGCTGATGTTCCACGTGAGTGTGGTCATGGTCCTTTTCTCAGGGTCCACAATAGAGTCCTCAATGATGTACGCTGAGCTGGACATTTGCTTTGGAAGGTACCGCTCCATCCAGCGAGGTGCTCGGCTAGTTTTGGTCAACAGGCGTCTTGAAATGAGGCAGTTGGTTGGAGTGACCTCTCGGAAAATTATGTCCTCGGTCAAAACGTGGTTACTGTGGAAGAGAAGACAAAAAGCTACGGATCACAACCTGCAACTAATTCATTATTTTCATTATAAATGCTTCTGTCATATATTTTCTTCAATTAAATAATTAATAATCGTCAGAAATGGGAGTAAATGCCCATTAAACTCAAAGTGACATCTTCAAATTGATTGTTTTGAATTGACAATATTATAAACAACAACAAATACTCACACGAGAGACTGAACAAGTAACAGTTTGGCCTAATAATAAACTTCAGAACGATCAATGGATTATCAGAACGGTTGGAGATTCATTTTCTGTTTGATCGGTCAGCTAAAACTGCAACGAACAATTATTTTTACAAGTGATTAATCAGACGATTACTTCCTTAATTAATAAATTCATATCTTGGTCTAAAAAAATATATAATATTGACAGTCTAGAACTTAAAGATATAAAATGTATTATCACTAAGAAAACTATAAAATATTGAGGGATGAGTGTATTTTCTGTACTTTTGCTTCCAAAAAGATAAACAATGAATAGTTTAATATATATATATAATATAATATATAATAGTAAGATTTTTGTGATTTATAAATTGATCAATCATTTCAGCTATGATGTGTCGTCTGATGAAGGTCTGTTTTATTTCAAGTTAGACAGTAAGCAGGAGTTTTTCTTTTCTAGCTATGAACCACTACTCAACCTTAAAGGTGGAAGACATAATAAGACGTTTTGCTTCAGTAAAAATAGCAATATCATACTATAAAAGTAGAAGTATAGAGTCTATAAGAGTATTAAAAGTGAAATTACTCATTCGGTAGCTGTCGAAATGTTATATCCAATTACTGGATCACTATTACTGACAGTGTGTCATAGTTTATCAGCTACGTAACCATATTTTTAGTATATAAAGTCACAAGCCTTTAAGTAACTAATGACTAGCTGTGACATAAATTCTGTTAAGTACTGAAAATAACACACCACTGTTTAACCTTCTCCTGATAGAAGTGATGAGCCACAACCACATGTGTATAAAGAAGTGTGTGCAGGGCTCAGAGGTGAGACTGTATGGAGACTGGTGGCCCCTCACCTGTAAGGGTTGGGATAACGTTGCCAGAAAGCAACACAAACTTGGTCCCAGGAGCTTTTGAGCAAACCTGCGCAGCAGAAATACTTCACCATTGTTCCGTGTGTTGGATCCGACAACACCCTGTGGAGAGACAGAGCAAACAAAACCAGTGAGATGGCAACTAATGAGAGTTTTTAAATTAATAGAGCAAGACGACCCCGAAAACACACACACACACACACACACACACACACAAAAAAAGACTACGGGTGGATAGAAATGAGGTTTGTTTAAAGAGTTTATAACCGGTAATAGAGACACACACATCTTCCCGAAGTTTCTCAGCTAAATGCTACATGACAGCTGTCCGGCCTCACGTTACCTCACAGATACCACACCGAGTCTTCACGGTGTGGCTCACAACTGCGGGGCTAACGTTATAAGCACAGACTGATGGACATTTTAAAACAGCGAGTGGCTAAACACATCACATCTAACGTTACTGTCCCAGCTGTCACGTCCGCACTCTGTCGCTTCCTCGTTAGCATGAGCTAGCACGTAGCACGAACTCCATGAATGAGTGGCACCGCGTGAACCCCGAAACAGCTTTGACCCACATTCAAAAAGCAAATCCGGAATTTAATTTAATTTTTTTTTGTTTCTTTTTTTTACCTGTATGTCGACAACAATCAAAAGAGGAGTATTTGCATTTTATTCGCCTGTCCTGGCTGACTTCACCGTGCGGCCACTCTTCGACTCATGTCAAAACCCGAGAGGTCAAACATTGACGACAGATCCGGTGGGTGGTGCAGAAGCGACGCCGACTCTGAACACTAGAGGGCAGCAGGCGACTGTGCAACAATGCCGCACATCCATTTTCTTACCTCAGGGTTTTTGAGCACTCACACAGCTGTGGGGTTGATGTGATATCTCTCTTTTGAGTTTTTCCCCCATTGTGCACTCAGTGGAATATAAATCAAGCGATGTTGGTTGATTTTAAGAATGGAGTTTGTCTGTTTTTTTTTTTTTTGCACTTTTTCATGTCAAATGTCATGTAATGTTGTCAGAACAGCTGTTTCATCTGTAAGGCTACACCCAGAAAACCTTCAACCTTTCTTCAAGTTAAAGGATTAAAAACTAAAAAAAAAAGCCCATTATGGTTAATCTGACCTTGTTCTGCCATTTTTGGAGATGTATCACCTTTAGCACACTTTATACTGGAGGACAGGTGGATAATCTTTTTTACGCATGCTAAATTCATCCCTGAAAACTCCTCTAGTCTGCAGCGAAATCTTCACACATTAGCTTTAATGCTCAATAGGTCTAATCCCATGGGTCTAAGGCTCAATGTTTGTCTGCTGGTAGTCCCGATAAAGGCTTAGAGCTTCTATAATAATACAGCACATAAAGGAATATAGACTAAGCCAGGAAATCAGTAATGTGGGTGTCAAGAACCAGCAATGCAAACCTAATACCTGTTTCCTCTGCTGTAAAATGAATCACACTGCATAGGACACTTGATCATTAAATGCTTTATTGGATGGTATTTGGACCCAGTTTTTTTTTTTTTTTTTGTTGCTTCATTCAATACAATGTCTGAGAGTTTATGCGTAGGACTAACCTCAGTTTTATACAAACAATAACTTCATTGTTTTTATGTCCCTCTATGTTTACTGTCATCCCATTCATAGATGGGTTTTCCAGCTGTCAAGTTTGGGGAGTTAAAGTTTATCTTTCCTGTATTACCTCAAGTATGGAGAGCATACCACAGCACGGACTGCTACCCCGAAGGTTTCGGGTAGTCTTCATATGGTGCTTATAGTGTTTAATGGATTTTGTAATATGTCACTATTTGCAGAATTACTATGAAACCAGACATGATCTGACAGACATTTACCTTACTTAAATAATTCACTTATCCAGGCTTTATTCAAGCTGCTTATTTGACATGGAGGCACAAAATGTAATTTCCCCTTCACTCTGGGAGTGTAGTGTGTGTAGTGATTTATTAATGTTCCTGTGTTCAATAAACAAAGGACACTTTAGCAGCTGAGTGTAGAGTTGCATGTTTTGACTTCTACTAAATCCCCTTTTTTACTGCCCACATTCTGTAATGAAGATATTAAGAACTTGTTGCTCTCACTTCACACAGTTCATTGGTTTTCAATCCCATTCCTTTGGACACAGAGACCTGCTGGTCCGTCTAATTAGGAACAGCTGGCTGCCAGGTGAACGCAATTTCTTCCTGGTTGGACAGAAAATCAGCGATAGCCTCCTCTGGATTCTTTGGACGTTGATTGAATATTACTGGCTTGAATGTTGGAAGTGTTTCAAATTGCATTTGGATTAATTAAGTGAAAATCATCCAAATGCTTTAGACGGCCAACAAATAGAAGAACAAGCGTGAAGAACTTGTTCTCGCAGTCACAATAATTCTCTTCTAGCCTTCAGTAAGTATGAACACATTAATAGCCCCAGATAAGCAATTTATGCAATGGAGTGCATAATTCATTGGACATTACTTAACAGTTCAGCATTTACAGGAAACACATTATACATTGTACCAAGTTAATTAACACCATAGTAAACACCATAAACACATATTTGAATAGCTTTCACAAAAGAATTTTCACTAGTACCATTCACAAAGGAAAGACGAGCCTTACATAAAGCAATTTGCATGCAAAGCTTTTTTGCCCTCTCCAATGACATAGATACTCAAATTCAGACCATTCAAGTCAAAAGGCTACTTTTACACAACAAGCACCACATACCAGAAGTGCCTTCAATGTGATCAGTCATATTCTACAGGATTTTTAAACTGTGTCAATCTCATACAGCAGTTGGAGTGTGTCCACCATAACGACTGGTTAGAGTCAGCCTTCTTGTGGAGCGTGTCCTGAACGAGCCCTCGGTGTGGAAAGAATCTGGCTTATCCTCACAACGGAAGACCATGAGGAAGCCATTCCTGTAGTTTTTATTCATCCACCCATACAGGAAAGGGTTGGTAAAAGTCGAACACATAGCTATGATATGGAACACTGTGTATATCAGTTTGTACTCCTTCAGCCTAAGCGCCAGGTCCAGATCACTGGCCAGCTGAATCACATGGAACGGCAGCCAACAGATAGCAAACACCACCACCATCAGCGCCAACATCTTGGTGGTCTTTTTGCGGCGGTTGATGCTGTCGTTACGGCTAGATGGGCTGATATGATTCTTCAGTTTGACCCAGATGCAGATGTAAGCATAACTGATGATGGCTAAAGGTATAATGTACTGTAGGAGCAGCATTGAGAGGCTGTAGATGACTCCGTCCCTGCTGGTCCCGTGGGGCCACTTCTCAGAGCAGACAGCGATACGCAGGTTGATGGAAGGGATCTCTTCATGACGGTACTCTCTGAAGATTGCCAGGGGTGCTGCCAGGACAGCAGACATAGTCCAGGTGGCTGCCATGATGAGGAAACTGCAGTGCCATGTGAGGCGCCGACCAAGGTGAAAGACGATGCAGCGGTAACGCTCCAGAGCAATGACAGTCAGGGTCAGGATGGATACATGCACACTCAGGGCCTGGGCAAAGGGCACCATGTGGCATAACAAAGCCCCAAATTTCCACTCATCTAGCAGAGTGTAAACCAGAGTAAAGGGCAAGCAGAGAGTGTCCACCAGGAGGTCTGCCAGGGCCAGGTTAGCTATGAAGAAGTTAGTCACTGTTCGCATGTTTCTGTAACGAAAAATCATGTAAATGACGAGAGCATTCCCCAGCAGCCCCAGTAAAATTATTAGGGAATAAGCTGTGATCAGGGTGATCTGGACCCCAAGATGCTTGGTGATATCAGTGTGGAATCCAGGGCTGTATAAATCTGTGCTGTTGTTAAATAGAGTCCAGGAATTGGTTTCACCAGCCTCCCCTTCGCTTGTGCTGTTGGATGTGTCTGGTGGGCTCATTTTATCGGAAGATGCCAGATCGAGACTGTGCCGACACCTGAGGAGAGAAAACACATTAAAATAAAATCATTTTCTGACACAAAGCAGAATAGTATTCCCAACAACAATTCCAACTATGAGAACAAAGGTAGTCCTTGTGAAAAACTCTTAAGCTTAAGATTGTTTATTTATTTTCCCACTTTTCTCTCCAATTTAGAATTCCCAACATCCATGATTTGCATTTCCTGTCACTGCTCGCCATGTGGGATGCACATGGTGTCACTTGTGGTGTACCCTATGTGTCCTTACGTATCCCCCTCTGTGCAAGTGTCCAAAAGAACCAGTACAAGTTTCTGATGCAGTAATAAGAACATGATCCCACTGCCAGTTGGTTTCACCTGAATGCCTGACCAAGCCAAAGGTACCACTGCTGGGAATTGAACCTTGGTGGTGGGCTGGTATTTTAACCTCCTGAATTCCTCCTGGTCCATTCACACTTTTCACACAATAAAATACCTCCTGTCATTTAGCGGTGGACATAGAAATGTAATTCATTTTCAGGGTCTTCCTCCTTTTCAGAATAGTATGAACTGCCATAACTTTGACAGAAATCCAATTTCTAATGAAATCTGACTAAACAGAACTAATAAAACTGTTTCATTATTCTCTTCATATCACCAGGACAGGGTAGTTCACATTGTAAATGTCATACCGTTATTAAAGCTGTTCAGTATTTAACTTGAGTAAATGAAACATTCCAATTTAGAAGATAAGAGATTTATCTCATGAATGCAGTCTAATTATTAGAACAATTACCTAAGATTGCATTGAGGAATTGGGATTTCGGAACTGCTAAGAAACTGAAAAGTGCCTTTCAGTAACAGATGATAATCAGTGGAAAATCAGCTTTCTTTGTTGCTCCATATTGTTCTAAAAACAGACCGTATAGCTACCTATAGCTATTCATATTAAAAATGTCTTTGCCTTGGTACAAGTATAGGTTTGGTTATAGGATCAGATCAGATCCAATCAGAAATACTTTAATAATCCCAGGGGGAAATTATTTAAAATTTGCAAGGGACATGAACACCTGTGCCATTATAAAGGCTAAAGGGAAGTGATGAAGGAAGCAATGTGATCAGTAGGAGTCAGGCAGTTCAAAGCGACATCATTAAAGCCGTAGTCTGCTTGCATTCACAGTCTGCATCTCAAAGGTAATTTTGTGTGGTATGCCTAAATTCTGCCTGAAAGATGGCCCATGTTACACAAAAGAATTCTCTCATTTCAGTAGACTTTCTGTTGTTCATTATCTTGCCATTTCAGTCAATTTACCCGAGAGCTCCTGCTGAATAAAAAGGGAACATTTTGGCGTGCTAAGTATAAAAAAAATACTTTTAGTGTTTGACTCTTAAGTAACTGCTAAGTCTCAGCTTCTTCATTAAGCAGATTAATTCTAATTACATTAAGTGACATTAGATTCAGCCAGAGGCTTTTAACAAATCCACAATACTGCGATTTTTCAAAGGATTTCATTTCTGAGTGTTAAAAACTGGGCACTTCTGTAGTTTTCTGTGTGCTCACAGGCTTTCTTTAAATTACAGAGACAAGCAGGACACCATTTAGTGAGAGGTCATCTCTTTGGTGACAGACAATCTTTGGTTGCTCTGGGGATCTTGTAGCCTATTTTCTGACAGACCATTGCACAGGCTATAGTTCACTGACATCTTTGCTTTTTCATTATGCTATTGAAAATTGAATATTTTAGTGTGGAAAATATGGAATAAATGTATTTTTCTGAATTTCTGTGTTTCTTTATTGTCACATTTATCTATATGCTACATGAATCATATTTCAAGCAGCAAAAGCTCTTGAGAACAAGTGTGTGTGTGTGTGTGGATTTATCAGAAATCAGAACCACCCAATCAGCCTTAAGGTTCCTCAAGATTTATGTAAACAATATCAAATATCACGTGTGAGGCCTATAGGAGAAGAAGTATTAAGGATATAGAACACACACACACACACACACACAAATGACTTGCACTATAACTCTGAATCCATAGGGACCACTGCAATTGTGGTTATGACAACTACAGTGTGACACTGCCCATAAACCAAAAGGCTTGAACAGTCACTCTGTCACCAGAGTAGACAGCCACACCGGAGCATTAAGGATTTATCAGGCAGACTGCAGGCGACATATGCACTTTGCAAAGCATCAGTAATTTGTCAAAGCACCCTTTTCTGATCAGCGATGGTAATCCAAGACTGGAGGCTTGTGCCACTGAGAAATCTGTTATCATACACCTGCTGGAGCAAAAAGCACCGATACAACCGGATTCTAGTGAACTCTGCGCACTGCCGTCAAATTATGATGAGACACCTAATTCCCAAATCAAAATGCATTGATGCTTCGCTCGTGCGTAATTTGTCGCCATTTGTTTAACTTACTGAATAGTGCGCATTCAAATATCATCAAGTGAGCTCTCAAAGCTTATTCAACCGACTAGACAGGTGCATATCGTTCGCCTCCAACACAAATAGTCTCTTGTGCTATGTAATTTGGACACTTGTTCATCCTCCTTTTCAGATGTTCCTCTCATATCCAAATTACGCACATATAATAGTTTCAGTAACTACAAGTTACGCCGTTACAAAACAACGTTTAATATCTTTAATGCCAGGGATACGTTTTGGTCACTAAAACAGCCTGGCAATATCCATTTAAAGTCTAAATAAACGCTATCCACATATCAATGGACTCACCTTCTCAACTATATCTCCTTTTGCAAACGAGTCCTCACTCGAGAGTGGCGTGAAACAAGGGGGAAAATCCCGAAGCTCCTCCCAAGCTGTAGCGCCTAGTGCGCATCTTGTGGCTCCAATGTGCGTTCCTGAGGCAGGTCTACAGGATTCAGTGTGAGCGTCCACATCAGTGCCAGGGACTGTCACTGGAGATCTGCGCAGGGATTTTCGCTTTACAGATTACCCATTTAAACGAGGCATCTATGTTTTTTCATTTACATTGAATTACACAGTAAATAAATTAAATTAAAATATCACAGAGTGCCATTTAAAGTGCCAACGCAGAGTTACGTCACTGAGTTTATGACATTTTGTTTTTATCTCTATTTATCATTCACTTTAATCCAGGCAGGCTTTGGATTTTAAAGCCTACTATTTCTTCCTCTTGTTTGTGTGTATAATTTGGAATGAACTTTGGAACAATACAGGATTATAAAGCAGATCCTCCTCACATATTGCTCCACATCACTGTTACAACTGATCTAATTTCAGCAATCAAATGAACACTATTAAAACTAAACTGTGGCACAGCTTCGTATTGTTGTGCAACAAGACAGTGTTAGTTGCATCAAACCGCTGTCAGATTTTGTTGAGTGCTAAGGAAAACAATAAAGACACAAATCTCTCACAGCTCCTATCTGTCAGCTCCCATGACTTCCTAAAATAGATTAAAGTTCTTGGTGATGGGATTGTTATTTTTAGTTTAAGCTTTAAGGGCAGTATTTGGTGCCAAACAAAACACATTAGTTCATTTGAATAAGGTTTGGTTGGATATTTCAATCAATACTTCAGGATTTGGAGTGTGTCATTCAATTCTCATGGACTTTGAATCAATTAGGTTTTATTGTATTGTCCCTGGAGCCATTGTCCCTCATATATTGTAGCAAAGCAAAATATAAAAAAAGTCTAAACTTACTACTTACTAAGCATACTCAAAAATGCTTAGTCGAAAAAAGGTTTACGCAAAGGTTACCATAAAATAAATAAACAATTATAATGAATAAACAATTGACATGTATTTGCAGCCCCCATGACTCTGTTTGGAATGAGTTCACCTCATCTGACCTTGGTCATTTAAAGATGTAATGGGAATGTCATCAGATAATTGAGGACCTGAAACGCACTGTGACTTGAAAGTAGACATAAACAAAAGAGCTTCAGCCACATTGAAAACCGCTGTCACCCACCAAGAGAATGTTTTGTGGTTTTAAACATGAGAGCATGTCTCCCTCGAGACATAAGAGTTGCCTTTCACCATCCCAGCTCAGATTTACTGTTCATGGAGCAGCACTGTATGAGACCCTAGGATCCTATTGGTGGGATTTTGTTTGATGAAGCAATAATTGGTGCACTGATTGACTCAGCAACAGAGATTACCCTTATTGATCGGGGCATGCTGCCTCTCAAGCCTCAATTTATTCTATCAGTTGTGAGAGCCGCCCCACCAGCCCCCATGTGCACCGGGTCCCTTGGCAGTCAAGGTTGACAGTTCTCTCAGCCCGGCTTGCATGCATTACTGAACAAGGATTTCTGTCCTAGCCACAAACTTACTTATCTCCAGCAGGTTCTGAGAAGTGGCGAGGGGGTTTTAAAGTGTGGCCATGGAAGAAAATTGTTGTACATTTATGTTCATCTACCTAATTAGTAAGCTCTGTAGGACTCCCCTCCATATGGCCGGGGATCCTGTATGGTTCACCACTCTCCATCTGATTTCTGTTTCTGTCTATGTCCTCTGAGAGCACTGCTGCCGCTGATCTGATGACATGATCAGAGACTGTGGCGTCCTCCCGTCTCACAGCCTCAAAACTCAGTGCACACACTACAAGGATTATGTATCCTCTCTCCTCTATGTCTGTCAGTCTTTCTGTGTGTAGACTGTGTGAATTAATGAACGTGTGAGTGGATGACTGACACACTCCTTCGGCTGTCAGTGTTTCTCACACAGGTTAAATTTGACAGGTGGAGAACAAAGCCTAATCAGTACATCAGTCCTTAATTCTTCAGTGAATCAAAATATTGATTGTAAAAGGATGGACACTGTGAAGTACTCAAATTGGATTCCTGGGGTAAACATTTGTGTGGGATGCTCCAATTACACCCCCAGTGTACTTTCCCTTTATTCTAAGAAGCCAGTGTGTCTAGGGAAGCAAAACTGATTAAGGACACCAAGGTCATGATTTAACAACATGAGAGGGAAGTTACGTAATTACAGAGACACTTTACAGATTTTATACCACATATTTTCTGCCTGTGAAAACAGTTGTATATTACTTAATGTGGCTCTTGGGCAGGGATATCAAACTGCTGGCTCGGGGGCCATTTCCAGCCCTCCGTCCCCCTCTCTCTGGCCTGCAACATGATATAAAAATGTATAGAAACATTCTCTTTGCATTTTTTGTTCAGTATGATGTGAGTAATATGACATTTTCAGAATATATGAGTTGAGTTTGAGACGCTTGCTCAAGGGGGACCATTTAAAGTCTGATAAAAATGTACCCTTATGACGTTATCAAGGTTTGGAGGTCACTCATTTTTGTTTTTGGTACAAACTGGAGGTGTGGCATTTAAAAGACCTGTGGATTTATAGGCAGGGAAGTTCAAACGAAACACACTCTTGAGTTGCATTATGGAAAATGTAGAACCCAGTTCTTGTTGAAACTATAAACCAGGATATCTCAACCTGTGCTCCTTTGATGGTGGCTAGTCCAGATTCCTATTTGAACTGTGATTTATTATGCAGATTTTGCAGTTGTGCTCACTGCAGCTCCTCCAGTGAAACAGAGAATGAGTCAACCAGAGAGGAGAAAGTAACTGACTGTTTGCTGTGAAACACACCGACCAATCAAAATCGCGTCTGTCTTTCGGCACATGCGCAGTAAACTTGTACGTCTTGTTCCCCAAAACAGCAGCCGAGGGAGGAGAAAGCAGATGGAGGGACTGTGAAGTACCTGGCCGCACATTTACGCCGAAAAACAGACAACGTAGGTTCATCAAAGTATTAACAAAAAGTTGCTTGTAGTCACTATGTAAGAAATGTACATTTGTTTCGCTTTATGCTGCTTGAAAACACGCGGTTTACTGGCTGCTGTTACGGTAGCTAAACGCTAGCAAGTATCATGGCAGGAGAGTGAAACACAAACAGAACATCTGACCAAACGTTGCTTCCACCATACAAATCACCAGCTAGCTTATAGAAAGTCCCGTGGTGTGTCAGCTGATTCCTACTCCTGCTCAGCGACATTTACACTTGAACTAATAGCTGTCGTTGTACTGGGAGCAGATCATTAGTAGGCTCTAGTTTTTTTATTCTCTGCACTATGTTCTGTTTATTAACCTGGGGCTGTAGAGGAGAGGTGACCAACCCACTCTGCTGGATCCATATTTGGCCCAATGATTCACTTAATATAATGTGATGCACAGCAGGAAGTTGTTGCTGTACAATGTGAGCTTTTATTTATTTTATTTTAAGCTGAATTAACACAATCTCTCCCTGTCTCTCTCTTCCTCCAGGCTTTTGCTTTCACTTCCTCAGCGTGGACCCACTCTTTGGGATAGGAAGCTGCCCTTTCGCCATGGCTGCTGCCGCTGTTGCCACGTCTTCCAAAGGCAGCCTGAGAGAGGACCTGACGTGTGCCATATGCTGCGATCTGTTCCGGGAACCTGTCATGTTGGCCTGCATGCACCACTTCTGCAAACCCTGCATCTCCAGGTACTGGAGGGGCGCTCAGGGTCCCGTAAGCTGCCCACAGTGCCGCAAGGAGTTCAGCACCAAGCAGTTTCATACGAACTACCTTGTGACAGCCATGGTGGAGAAGGTCCGGGCCACCACTTCGGACTCTTACATCAAGAACCTAGAGGTGGGTTCACGCCTCCGCTGCGTGTTTAACCACGATGCTGCTGGCTGTCTTCCATGCCTTTATTCTTGGTCAGCTGGTGTTTGGCAATCTTAAACAAATAACCGTGGGCTCTAAAGTAAACCGATTGATTAATAATGAATGTTCTGTAACCTTTGAGTTATATAAGTTGAATACAATTGTATTGAATGTTTCACTCCACATCTGTGTTTATTTCACCGTAGCTCCACCCTGAATATATCTCGTTTGAATGGCTCAGGGCAAAGTTCGCTCTCCGCTCCCTTTTATATTACTTGGTATGACAGGATATATGACTTAAGCACAGCAGGGGAACCAATATACACTGCCAGAATAATAAAACCACCTGTACATAATCTAATCTAGAATAAATCCTACCTTTGTCACTCTTGTTAAATTTAATTGTGTTTCATATTATGTCAGATTATTTATTCAATTTTCTGTTGACAACTGTTATAACTTAGTTATTGTTTCTGAAAGAATAGTTTAATATTCTGGGAAATTCTGCTTTATTCACTATCTTGCAGAGTTAGATGAGAACATTGATACCACCCTCTCAAGAAAATGTAAGGCTAAGACCAGCTAACCTCTTTTATTTATTACAAAAGTAATGAAATCCACCTCGAAAGCGCACTGACAAACATGTTGGGTATTCTCGTCGTGGCAGTTTTGAGAACCAGTTATGTGTGTGACTATTTCTTGACTGGGTGCAGTCACTTCCTGTCATCTCTGCTGGATGCCTGCCAACCTCAAGGAGACGTCAGGAAGTGTTTATGATATTTATCCACCTCCTTTATAAAGCATCTAAAACAGGTGGACAAAATATTGGAAGCATCTTTGAATAAAAGGGCTGTTAAATGAAACAATAAAAGAAATGACTTCCTCAGAACAGTTGATTCAACACTCAAAAAGCGCCTCAACTAAAACAGAACATTTTGAGGTAGTGATATTTATTGCATAGGACATTTTTTGTTCATTTTTTGCTCATTCAGCAGTTTACAGTTGTTAACGAGTTCCTTGATTCTCGGCACAGTCTCTGTATGTGTCACTGTTTCTGTCCTTACTCTGATTTGATTCGCATATTGCTGTACAGAAGCAACTGAAAGAGACTTTGGAGAGCCATCGCTTGAAGAAGGAGGCCTTCATCAACAGTATTCGCAGAGACAAAGACAAGATGGATACCATAAAGGTACAGTCCGACTGTGGGGAAGTCGAGGGATGGCAGCACTTAACAGATAAGAATGCACATGTCCCTCTTTAATGGCTGTTTGCAGTATGTTACTGTGCATATTTAGTGGTGTTTGCAGATGTGGTAAGTGACAGTTTGTGCTTTGATATGTAAAACATAATGTTCTTGTGCTTTGGTGCATAAATGCCTTTCTAACCTCTGACCTAGTTGGATGTCAAATATGCATAGGAAACCTTTACTCCTCTACACTCTTATGTTGACATGGCAGTGATTTTGCCACTTTTGCTCCAGCAGTGAATTAAACTGAGAAATTGAAGACTGCATCATGCCATTTGACCAAAAAAAAAACCCCACATCTAATAGACAGATGGAAAATATGAGCTTGAGTTTGGTTGTGCATGCTGTGCTGAGATAATCAACAGGAAATCTTTCCCTGCTTAAATAGGCTGTAGTTGTTTGACACAGATCTTTGATGTGGTGTAGCTTAATTAACACTTTCTCTCTCTGTGGAGATGTGTACTGTTGCATACATTTAGAGATTTAAGGGAACAAGCCACTTGGCAACAACATAGTAAACTCTTAACTCTGTCCTCGTCCATTGAAAAATG